TAATAACATAAATAAATTTAAATTTAAATACAACAAAAAAAAAAAAAAAAAATTAATATTAAATAAACATATCAAGTTATATGTAATGCTAGGTTAGCAGAAACGTGATTTTTATAAGAGTAGAAGGAAGTATAAAAAAACGGATCAATATTATAACTATTTACAGAGTTCATGTTTCTTAAAAGTGGTTTATTAGTTACATAATTTGTAGTTTAAGATTTTAAATAGAATAAGTTAGTTGATAATATTAATAATCATCAGTAGGGCCTCGGAAGTTGATGACCTTAAAAATATCAAAAAATTACCTAAAAAAAATATGCAAATATGACATCAAAATTAAAAAAAAATGTCCTTGAAAAATTACCTAAAAACATTACTAATATTTGTTTTAAATTAATAAAAATACATTTTTTTTAAATATTTTACTGTATTTTACTTTAAATATATCAAAATTTACAAACTACTCAAAATATGACATAAAAATAACAACAAATGTTCTTAAAATATGAAATAAAAAATTACAAATATTTGTTTTATAAATTTATCGAAACTTACAAATTACTCAAAAATCAATCATTGTATTGTACAATTAGAGAGTATTTGATGATATCAAAAGTAAATGAATGACAATTATCTGATCATAAATATTTATGATTGGAAAAGCTTGTCTCTACGTCCACTGAAGTTATTGGAAGTAGTGATGGGAAAAATACGGATGTTTAAAGTTCGAAATCTGAAATCTGAAGTTTAGTGTAAACCCGGATTTCGGATTCTAAAATCTAGATTTTACTTTGAATCCGGATTTCGAATTTAAAAACATTGAATTAGTATTCTTTTAAGAATTCTTTATAGTAAATAAAAAATAATTACACATTCTTAAAATTAAATGATATTTTAAATATGTTATTTATAGATTTTAGTACTCAAACACTAATTTTATTGTAACTAGAACTTTATTTAAAGCAACTAACAAAATAAAAAAATACATCAAATAACAATGTATAAGTTGAAGGATTTCAACTAAATTTATAAGTTACAGTATAAGTATTAAATTTAATTAATATCACAATTTACAATTATCGAAATAATTATAAATAATTATAATAATTACTATAAACAAAAATAATAGTTTTGTATAGTTTATATAAATATTCAGGGCTGGCCCAAGCAAAAATAGTGCACTAGGCAAAATCAAATTTTGCCGCCTCTAAAAAAAAAAAACTGAGCTCTTATTTTAACTTAACCATAGGCGTGCGCACGGGGGTGGCCGGGTGAGCCGCGGCCCCCCCTGCGGACTGGCTTTTTCTTTAATAAATGTATATCTATACTATACAAGATAGCGAACATTTTTACATTTTACATAAATAAAGTGAAGCCCGTTTTAATCTTATAGTATAGAATTGATATCTGTGAATAAATGTAATAAAGTTATTAATTATTAATTAGACTAATCAGAACTTGCATATAATATAAAAATTGAAGATGTAATTGATACATTCAAAAAACTTTACTCCCGTGGACAAAAGTATGGAGTTGTAAATAGTATAATAATATATAAATAAGGATTTCTTAGATATAAATTGTGTAAGTTTAAATAGTATTTATTTTCATATTTGCATATTGAATTAAATAAATAATTTATAAAATTTAAAATATTTAATTATACTAGTAGTCTTTAGTACAAGAATTTTTGGTTCACTTTTTTAAGGGGCCCCCCCTGCGGACAAAGTTTGCGCACGCCATGAACTTAACCCCATCCTCTATTTTCTATGTTACATATCTACTTTTATTTTATGGATAACATTTTAAGTAAAAATACTTAAAAATGATTTCTATTACTATTACTAAAAACTCATCATTACCGCGAGTATCGGATATATAGTTATATATTTTGAATAATTGAAAACGCCGCGCGTAGGCCGTAATATAAAGTAATATAATAACTTTAGACAATATTATTTTATTATATAGGTAAGTGATTTTCACGAATGAATTCATTTAAATATTTTTCTTATAAAACACCAATAGAACTAAAAAAATATTCGAGTCAATTTTGAAGTTCTAGGTTCTAGATAGATAGGTGTCTAGTTCGTCTATACCTTGAGCCGGCCCTGTAAATAGTAATAAGCACAGAAGTATTTTATGATTTTACAATTAAGATATACTAAATAATAATTATAACCTATCAAGTTAGTATTTATGATAAATTTTTACTTTGTTTTGATTTGTGACTTGATGTTCAGAACATAATACTGTTGTGGTTAGTTGCAGTGGTTTCAATAACTTGACAATAACTTCACATCGATCCTAATCTTCTTCAATAATTTCTAAATGTTATGCTGTTCTATATTTAAGTATTCTCTGTCTGATATAACAGCTACAAAAGCTGTAATAAATATCTAATACTCTGCTTTATAATAATTTATTTTATTTTTCAAGAATAAACATTAACTAAATTGTTATCGAATTTTATCAATTCCTTCGTAAAAATGACTTAAAACATAAAAATGCACTAAAAATGTCAAAAAAGTGAATAAGTCTAAAAAATGCAAAAAAAATTTAAAATACAAGTTACATTCTTAAATGTCTTAATGTATGAATAATTATTTATTAAATATTTAAAGAACGCCTGCACACTCGAAATCAAAACACAAATCAGTACTGTGAATTGACACTAATTTTTACTGACCATTTGAGGACTATACTGTCAGTAATATTGATCGTGTGAGGGCCGCTTAAGCCGTATTGCGAACTCGAAAATCGGTAAAAGCACAACAAACAATGGCTCAACAATAACAGAAATTTTATGTAAACAACAATTAATTATGTTTCGTTTTGTTCTATTTACATATTAAAATATCTAAATCTAATATAAATATTATGTGTTTTCATGTCAATTGTGATTGATTAGGTTCAATATTAGCTGAACGGAAAATTAACAACTCTATCATTAGCTCTATCATTAAGTGTTATTGGTTGTGCCAAACAGGCAATTAATTATATATATTTAAAGTATTTCTGTGAATTATATATTTTTTAATTTATAATATACAGCAAGTTAGTTACCATTTTATACCATTTTACATTTATTTTAGTTACTCCTCTTCTAGTTATAAGCACACACTAAACACATACATAATAAATGTAAATAAATAAATAATCAAAAATAAAATAAATACACACATAACACATAATATCATTATTAATGTATTAATTTGTTAAGAATATGATTCATTAACCACTGTATAGTATATTACTATATTAGTAACCGTGTTCTATTTTTTATACATATAGTACTTGCCTCATATGTTTCCGTCCTTTTGCTTAAGATAAGTTGTTACTTTTTTTATTTTATTTTTTTTTTTTTTGTTTTCCATATCTAGTATTATTTGCGATAAAATAAAAAAAACACACACAATTCGTCGTCATATAATACGTAATATTGGATCGTGAATAAAGGTCGATCGTAGAAAGCAAGTGACTTCATCAATTATTGTGATCTCCAGTTGATAATAATAATAATAAACACAATTCATAACAGTAATTCTATGAAACGATAACGCATGGACTAATAAGACGTATAATATACAAATAGATACACATCCGATAACGCGCAGCCAGTGTAATTATCTAATTTTATCTTATTATAGCTCACGCACACTAATATCGATTTACACACTCACATTCATGAACGGTTGGTGAGCCGCCAATACAACATGTGAATGTAATTGCCTAAATTTTACTCCTTAATAAATGACCAGCACTAACCCCCGGAGTGTATTTGCCTTTATAGCACTAAGGTGAACACTATATAATATTATCGACGTTATCGTTAATCTAATAGCAATATGGCAAGTTTATAATTAATATTAACATTATATACAATTATACATTAACTTCATCGGATGTTGAAAAAAGTTTTTCGCACTACAAAAATATACTTTCAGAAAATATTCGTTCGTTTGATATGGAAAATATAAATAAAGTTCTGATTGTTCGATGCAATACGTTTATAGTTATGACAGTTACAATAATCTATATGTTAATTGAATTAATAACAAATAAACATAATTTTTCAAATAACTTTCGTTCTGTTTTTTTTTTTTAGGTTGAAAAAATTACAATCCATAAAAATCACCCAAAAAAATTTTGAATTTAATAAACCATAAAAAAAAATTGTTTTGTATACTTAGCACATTTTTTTTTTCATATTTAATAAACATTTTTTTACATATTAAACACATTTTTTTTGCATATTTAACATTTTTTCATGCAAATTTTACAATTTTTTCGTGCATATTTGCATCCATATTTTGCCTTTTTTAGCTTCTACAACTTCCGAGCCCTAGCCATGTGAAACAAGTATTCGCACGTTCATAATTTGTTCTGTTTTGACAAATCATTCATAATGAATGTTTTAACTGACACGAGTAACTTCAAGTAGAAACTATTTTACTTTTGGTAATTTTCGATGATCAGTATTGCATTATGACAGAAAACTGAAACGTGTGAACACATGCTCATTTTATATTTTCATTAAAACTATAATTTATTTTGTTGACAATAATTTTTTACTTATTTACTATACATACCTGTTTTATACATATATTAATTTTAATATTTATAATTTTTAAAATTATGTTAAAATGGCGTAACGAATACATTAAACAAGATTTGGACAAGATTTAGTACATAGCATTATTTTCTGTTAGTTTTCTAAACGACTTTTATGGTCCAAATTGTAAAAGTATCGGCGTTTGATGAATATACTTATTGTACTCCTGAAGAATGAAGTATATTTATAAATTTAACATAAACCCTTAAACTATTGATATCTTATATTTTCATAATAATAAAAAATAACATATATAATAAACTCCACGTTAAGACGTGCAATTTTTTTACTCATAATATTATAATAATATAAATATAATTTTCAAACACAAACGTAATGTAATGAATTATAAATTAAAATATGAAGTCTTGCTGATAAATGATACTGGTCATATTAAATAAAAGAAACATATATACCATAATCGCATATTAAAAAAAAAAAAAAAAATGTATATTCATATTCTAAATGTAAATAGAAAAAGCTAGGAACTGTGTATTTCAATTTAATAAAGTTATTACTATAAAATAAAAATAAATAAAAGTACATTTGTTTGATAAAAATTATTTCCAAAAGTTGATGTTTTTATAATTTACTTGAATTTTCTTTTGAAATGTCGATACATATTACTTGTTCAATTGGTAATTCAATTGTATTTGAAGAAATATCTTTTTTCCTGTAAATTATAAAACAACATATATTAATTGATTATTATATTTTTAGTTGAAATTTATGAAAAATAATACGTTAATTTAAAGTTAATTTGAAGGAAATGAGTTAAGTTAATTTATCAGTAATAAAATAAGTTAAGTTAACTTAACTTTTAACTTATTAACTCGTTAATGCCCAGGTTTGGTTTAATTTAACCAGCGAATAAATACTAAAGTGAGTTAGTAAGAGTAGACATCCTTTAAATTATTTAAACTAACTGAAAACAAATATAGTTAAAAATAAAACAATAATTTACCTTCGTCCAAACAAATGCTTCGTCAAATTTCCAAACGGTCCTTCGACGACCATGTATAATATTAAACTCATCAAATAACATTTAAATGAATCAAAAATCGACAATTCCAACTGAAAAATATGAATTTATTAAGTATAAATTAATTAAACAGTGCATTATAAATAAATAGTAAATATAAATATTTATTCCAGGATGTACGTGTATTTATATATTTTAAATATAAAAATTCGTATATTGAATTTTAATATTTGCCTTACCAAAGTTTTTGCTGATAAATAAGTAGGTTGTCGCTGAGAACTCTGCGACATTTGCATAAGAGGTAAATTGATTAAGAAAACACTGTATGAGAGTCTTCCCAAAATCACACATAATCTATTTGTAAATATTTTTGAAAGCAATCCTGTAATTAGTACAAATAAGTTATGTTGTGTAATTTTCACAAGTTAAGTATATTACAAATATCAATGTATTGTGTATTTAAATTTAATATTTTAATCATGAATCCTAACGGCATTTCGTTGAGTAAATTTCTAATCATAGAAATATCGTTCTTTATTTTGCAAACGGAATGAATTACTGTATTCTAAATATTTTTTTATAAAAAAAATGTTGATGATTTTACCAATATCAAAACATTCAATCATTAAATGTATGTAATTCAATAAAATTTGTGTATTTGATTGTAAAACGTATTTGTTTATAAAATTCGTTTTCATAAATAAATAAATTTCGGATTGCAGTTTATAATTTAGTCATTACAATGGATACTGTCGAAAATTGATTTTTGAACTTTGTTTCTAATTTTGATTTAATGATAATTCAAATTACCATAACCAGTAGTTAAGTGACAAATAGTAATCCATGCACCAATTGTTGTCCAAGTACAATGACTTAAAGTAGCATATAAAGCATGTTCAATTGGAGAATAAAGTCTATCATATTTATAAAATTCTGCCCCAAGAAGTTGAATACATACACAAACCAAGGTAATGAGAATGGATCCAGCATAGACAGTTATCTGTGAAAAAAAAATGCTTCTCTTATTTAATATGTATAAAAAAATATGGATATTTAAAAAATTAAAATGCATAAAAAAATGTACTTGTGAAAATTTAAATTTTGATTCTTTCAATTTTTGTCCTATAAAACCCATTGCCAAGCCAAATATAAAAGGGATTGCTCGTAAGTAAGGTTCTCTGTATGTTTGATTAAATACTGTGGAACCTCTTGGATTATTTAAGAATCTGTAATAAATTTTATTATTATCATGTAACCTAATACAACAGCAACAGTTATAACAAAATACTAAACATTCTAGTGTTAAATAAATTTTATTTTATTGAAAATGTATTAACTATCTAAGTAGAAAATTCACTAATCAGTTGTAAGTGGATATTTAGGAAATAATATTGATTTTTATTGACTGCATCAATAGTAATTATAGCAATTATAGTTACATATATATATATATATATATATCTACAATATATACATCCATAAAAATAATAAAGAATGTTTTTGAAAGCTTGGATTATTGTGAAACCGTTATAGCAATCCTGTTACAGCTCGTAAAATAATTTTGTTTACAACTTGATTTTTGATGTATGACCCTCAAATTATCTATTTTTCAAATACTCACGGCAAATCAACTTTAAGTATTCCATCAATTTTCCTCACATACGTGATAACAAATGGCAAAAAGAGCGATACACCAATCAAAATACCAATTAAATATTTTCCGTATTTTTCATTTTTCGTATAAACACAAACAGTTATTACTCCAATGATGAAAAATTGTATATCACACGATAAGTACCAGCTCACCAAGAGGCACTACAACAGTCATATTTATATTTATATAAAAATATTTACTAAACTATTTACAAACGTAAAATAAATCTTACTTGGTACTTGGAATCAAAAAAATTACTTATAAACAGTACGTTTGTCCACCAATAGTTTTTACATAACTCGGCTTCTTTCCATGTATTTTGTGGCCATAGCGGACCGTCTCCAAGATGCGGTATAATATTAGCAGTTATCGCCATTATCATGCAGTAGGTTGGTAACATTCTAAAATGGTTAGAAAACGTTATTTAATGACTCTAGACTTAACATTTCACGGTAATCATTACCTTACTACTCTATAGATAATTGGATATACAATTTTCATCCAAATTGGTCCAGATTTTTGAAATACTGGAGTGATTGTAATGTAAATGAGATAGCCGCTCATGAAAAAAAATGGATCAACTAAATTCATGCAGGTTAACAGAATGTCTGGTCCATTAATATACATCTATAATTATAATTTATATTTTAATTTTAATTTTTTATTTTCTCTCTAATCATGTATTTAAAGTCTATGATCTAGGAGTAAATTAATATATTAGTCTATATTAGATTGAATTTTAGTAATTTTTAGAAAAATTTAACTGTGGATCTGAATAATATTCATAGCGTAAACAACATTATACTTATCTATAAATATATAAATCGTATTAGTTTAATATATAGAGTCATATTAGCTACTTTACTTTAAACTTACATTTTCGACTATTTTAACATTAGTCATTGGATTGCCTCCTAAGTACATAAATCGATGACCTAAAAGAATGAACATCATCGTCAGAAGTTTAATTCCATTAATTAGATTTAATTCATTATTTTTATCGTATTTTAACAAATCTTTGCCAGATTCAATGAATGAAAATGAATATAAGACTGAATGAATATCGTTTGCTGAAATTTAAAAATATGAATGTATTTCAAACAATTTTTTTTATAGTATAAAATGTTTTGTATCTAGAGCAAGTGAAAATTTGTTAATACTTACTTTTTTTTAGGTGTATCTTTTCGGCAAGATATGTTTGTGTACTGATATATCGTAATAACACAGCAAAGAAAAATGAGTACTACGAGAATTGCACTAAACCAATAAAAACATTTTTTTTGTAAATTTTTGTAGTTGGTACTTGATCATTTATATATATATGTGTGTGTATATATAATTATATTACTATTTATTATTATATATATATATATAAGTAAACAAGGGTGCCCATATGAGGAGGTAAGGGATGGATATGTCTCCCCCCTGGAAAATGTCAAAAATCTTGGAAAATGTTATCTTCCTATTTATGAATGGTTGATAAATAAAAATGTTGTAACGCCTTGAGAATTTTCCTATGGGCGCCTTTGTTAGTAGATAACTAATAGTTAAAAGATTTATGTCAACATAAAAATATATGTGTCTGAATAGTATTTTTGTAAAATAAAAAACGAAAATACTTAAGAAAAAAAGAATTCATTTTGACAAGCCTGGGAAAATGATAATTTTTAACTGAGTTAAGCTAAGTTGATGGAAAATATTTTAAAAAACAATAAAATAAAAGCTACATGAACATTTTCAATTAACTTATTATCTTATGTTTAGTTATTTATTTTTTCAATATCTATGTAAACACCCTGTAATATGGATGAAAATAATAAAATCATAAATATTATTGAACACAGAAAATAGCCAATAGTTTTTTCTATAAATATTATTAAATTATGAAGTAATGATGAATATAATTGTGTAGTGTAGATACCAAAAGTATACAAAATGCCGAAATAAATACAATCTTTTGATTTAGTAATACAGATAGTTAGATATTATACATAATTAATTATTAATATTTATTATTTATTTATTATAATTTTTATTAATTAAAAATAACATGGTATTTAAGAATGTACTTATTTTTTTAACTCAGAATACGTTTTCAGGGAAGTAAGTCTAAAAAATAACCCAATTGGTTTCAATTTAAAAACAACTTATTTGTGACGAAAATATTTTATAATATATTCTTGAGAATTGTACATTTGTGATTCGTATCTACTCGTAAATTAATATAATAATATTATGACATATTACTTCTTAGTTATTAGTATTTATTAATTATTATTATTTTTATTATTGCAATATACCCGTATGATACAGTATGGTATAACTTTATATGTATTTAATTACGTATGCTGACATTTAAGGGTAGAACACGATTCCGTACGGTCCTTATCAGCGTACGGAATCGTACACATTTTAAAGCATACGATTCCGTACGTTTTGTACCTAAGATTTTAGTGTAACGTTGTCAAATTTCTAAATAAGTTAAAAAATTATGTAATTATAAATTTACTCTATTAATTTATATAACACATATACGTATTATACGTCGTAGATATCATACAGTATCGGTCGACATCGACATCTTCTCAAAGTAAATCGCAATAACACTATTAGATTTGATATGATTTTTAATCATTACAAAATAATTTATCAGTAACAAAAGAATATATTTGTGTATGTAGGTACATCAAAACCAAAACTACTGATAATCTACAGCATACGACATAATATCTTGATAATAAATTAAGATAGGTATCAATGTTTATTTTCCCTAGTCGTCGCATGCCAGTCGATAACCACATCGTTTTGCGTAAAGTGCGGTGCGTTATAAAAATATAAAAAAATAGTGAACATGGAAAATGAAGTTAAATTTATAACTTCGGAAAAAGGAAAACCACTGGTATTATTTAATTTCCATAAATATCGGCTTATACGAACACGAAAAGATGGTTTAAAAAAAATGGTTATGTATACAAAAATTGTGTTATGCTAGGTTAGCATTGTGATAAATGGAAATTTAATTCATCAAACATCAAATGAACATAATCACTGTGAAAATTCAGCCCAAAGTGTCGAAAGACATGTACTGAGAGAAAACTGTAAACGCAAGGCAAGTGGATCTATTTCTATCCGACCTATTAAAATAATTCAAACAGAACTCTTAAAAAGCGTAAATTCAGAAGAAATTGAACATAGCGATATACGGTCAATCAGAAAAGCCATGTATGACAAACGACGACAAATATACCCGGCTTTTCCAAAATCTTTAATTGAATCAATTGAACAACTCAAAAGTATGCACAATAATGATGTACTTAAATTTAAAGGTGAACAATTTATTTTTGTACCTGATAACAAATTATTCGTTTGTATAACTACAGAACAAAATCTTAGATGTATGATTAATTCATCAGATTTTTTTGCTGATAGTACTTTTAATTACGCGCCGAAACATTATATTCAGCTCTATACAATTAATTGTTTACAAAATGGATTTTATATACCCGTAGTTTATTTTTTCTTGCCTGATAAATCTAAACAAACCTACATTGACATGTGGTTATTTCTTCAAGAATTAAGTGAAAAATTAATTTTCAAAAGACTTGTTATTCAAAAGTTACATTTAGACTTTGAGATAAGTGCTCATGAAGCATGTAGAGGGTGTTCCCAAATGTAAAAATTCAAGCATGTCGATTTCATTTAGGGCAGTGTTGGTGGTGAAAAGTAAATATACTTAAAATGTATTATTTCTTTATAAAATGATAATATTCAACGTATTAACTTTACAGATAAATTCTGAACAGCGACTCCGAACAGCATATACAAATGACGACGAGTTAGGAAAATGGTTAAAACTATTTTTCGGGTTGCCATTTCTATCACCACTTGAAATCGAAAATGCATTCATTGAACTTGTATCTATATGTCCTAACCTAGATATAGGATGTTTATTTTCTGATTTTATATTGAAAACATACGTAGAAGATCACTGTTTATTTTCACCGAAAATTTGGGCTCAAGAGCCATCAGAAAATCCTCGGTATGTATAATAATATATAACTATATATGACTTTCTTGGAAAATGTTTTCTTCTTATTAAATAATTATAATTATTAAGAAACATACTTGCTTAAAGTGTATAAAAACATACATAAAGTATTTTAAACTAGAATAAAAAATAAAAAATATACAGATAAATCGTATCGCCAATTTGTTCATAACCACCACGATTAATTTTTGTGCGCGTGGCCTAAAAATAAATTCTAACATGATCGACTCAGTAATCGTCTGCGATTTACCGGTCGACCAGTTTTATCATATAACTACATTAATCTTATATAAACGTTTTGTTTTCATTTATTTGTTTATTTTACTATATATTTTAAAGTACAACAAATGGATCTGAGAGTTTCCATAGAACATATAATGCCCAGTTTCATAGTCCACCCCCTTCAGTTCATTTGGTTATAGCAGTTCTAAAGGAAACACAAGAAGAGACTTGCACGAAAATAAGATCTGTGTCTAAAGGACGTTTGAATCAAATGGCCTTAGCCGACAAACAGCGATTACATCACACAATAACCGAACATAACAAATTATTAAATCATAGAAATATAATAAAATATTTATCAAGTATTTGTATTAATTACCAAGGTATCAAATTATAATTATTAAACCATTTAAAAATTATATATTTTAAATGTTTATATTTTTTTATTTTTAAATGACAAAAATTAATAATAATAATAATAATAATAAATAATAAATGGCAACGTTGCATGGAAAATCGTACGGAATCGTGTTGTTTTTGGGATCATTTTATAATCCATTGTTTGTTAGAAATCGTACGGAATCGTATTCCCAAAAAGGTAAAACGTACGGAATCGTGCTTTACCGGACATTTAACACATAATGTATTTTCTGTAAATTTAAATTTATTAATATTTTTAAACATCAAATTACCTGGTTATATGAAATGCTATACTGTAAGGATACATATCTTCCTTGACAGTACATAAAATTGGATCTATTTTAACAACAGTATTGATTTGTTCTGGTAAGAATACTTTGTCCAATTCATTTTGCAACGTTTTTTGTAAATCTGACGACGAACAAGAAGCTGGAATGCAAATTCCTAAATTTAAAACATTTCGTGGAATTTGATCTGGATAATTGATCCACTGCCATAAAAAAATGAATACACCATTTAAAAATTTAATAATAAATCAAATTAAGAAACTTAAAGTATAATGTAAATAGATTTAAAGATCACTTAAAAAGCCACAATATATTAATTATGTCAAAAACTGTGAACAAAAAATATTTTATTTCATCTTTTCTACAAAATATTTATTATTTTATAATAATATGAATATCCTAAAAATGTAATATATATGTATATATTTTTTCTCCTACATAAACAACTAAAACTTCAATATATAAATTATTTGTTTTAATTGTAAATAGAAAAATATTATTTTCTAAAACTAATCAAGTATTTGTTGAATATTGTACCCCAAGTACGTTCTGCCATGCATAATAACTTCCTATGTTATTCCTATTGTGTACTTCGTTGTGACTGATTGTGTTCTCCGCAGACGGTATTAGTTTTATTTCAGATAAGCAATACTGGCCTTTAACTGGATGATGTATATCAATACACTCATCGTAAAATCCCATATGAAATGTATTCCCAGATAGAAAACCGTTTGGATGTCGAGTCCATGATTCTGCCACTGAAAAGTAAAATATGTATTCGTAGAATCGAGATATTGATTTATTTTACGTAGGTCATTTACTTTAATCGTGACTTTATTTCTTATATTTCTTCGTGATTTTATTAACTTTATAAATTTAATATTTATAATTATATATATAATAATTTAAAAACTATTAATTATTAATTATTTTTATTGATTTTATATATATCTGACGATAAATTTTTAATTGGAAACCGTTCGTACTTTACAAGCAGTGTTATACATTATCTAGATAAAAATATTAATCTTTTTATCTTATCTAGATAATAATAATTTGAAGTTTGTTTTTATCCATCTTTTTAAATGAAATGGTAATCTAAGATAAACTATCTAGATAATTTTGAAAAAAGATAATTTTTTTTTGTGGGAAGTGAAACGAGGAATAATAAACACTTAAGCTCGGTTTACACGCAACGACTTATTGTACGTTTTGCTGGACATATAAAATTAACAATAAGACGTACATTTTATAAAGTGTCTACACTTTCCAACTTTTACTCAGTTTTCCATCCCAGTTTCAACTGTATTTCTGTTCATTATTCAATAGTGTTCAGTTAATTTAGTGATGTTTAACAATATGGAAGAAGCACTATTGTGGTTTACCATAATTTTCCTAATACGTGTGCAGCAGAATTTCGTAGATCAGACATGTTCGCAAGAAAACAAAAAAATACCATGTGAATCAAATTTTGTATTATTTATTAAATTGTATAGGTTAATATACCTACTAATAGTAGGTCCTACTATAATATATTATAATTATTAAAAACAAAAAAACGAAATTAAGTTGTTAAAACTATTAAGTAAAAGAGAAAATTAAACCTAAAAAGGACGAAAAGTTGTTCTATACACCAATTTTGTATTTATATGTGACGACATGTCGTTCAATTTCGCGTAAAATGAATCCGTGCCCATCAGTCTTTCGTTCCAATCTTGGATTTCATTCCGATTCAATAAAACGTACGATTTACTGTATACACGCTCCGTTTTACTTGATACGATTAGTCGTGTTCGATAAAACGTACGATAAGTCGTTGCGTGTAAACCGGCCTTTAGTATTACCGTATGTACTTTTTAAATTTTAAGTATTCATATTCTATAAACGAAGAAAAGGTATTGTAAAATTATTTACACAGAAAACATATAAAAATGAACCTATTTCAAAAAAATACCATTCAATTTTATAAGGATTAAATTTCACAATATTACAAAATCTTTTACAAATTTTAACTATAAGTTGGAATAAAATAACTTAACCTAACTCAAAAAAAATATAATAGGCTGATATAATATATATATTTAATATATTAATAATTATTTTTTTTAATTATTCATAATATCTTTTATTTTCATAAAATGAAACAAATACAATTTAAACAAGAACAAATAAATAATTTCATATTATTTTTTAATTATAGAATCAACCGAAATTAACCGGTTCTAGATCCCTTACTCTTTTAATAAACCGAAACCAAAACCGAAACGGGAACCGAAAAAACCTATAGGTTCCAGTCTCTGATATGTATACCTAATAGCTAATAGTATACTCATATAATAATAATATAGACAATAAATATGTGAACACATGGACATAAAACGTCAATCATTGGCTGGAACGTCCATAAATTACAATGTACAAACTTAGATTAAAGTAATAAATAATAATAAAGGCAACCAGTAACCACTGAATAGTGGCTACGGCTATATAGTGTTAGTGTATATCATTGGTTCCCAAATTGGGAGGCGCGCTCCTCTTGAGGGGTGTGTACATATTGCTTGGGAGACAAAAGCAGTTATTACGAAGTACAATTTTTTTTTGATAAATTTCGAATATTCTAAAGTTTATTTGTAAAATACACAAAAAAAAGGTAATCGATTTTTTCAATTTATAGAAGAGAGGGTGTTCGAGATTTTTGAAAGTCTACAAAGGGGGTGTAGAACAGGAAAGGTTGGGAACTATTGGTGTATATAGATCTTAAATCGTGTTAGTGAATACTGAAAATAGCAACAAGGTAACAGTAATCACTTATTAAGGCGCGTTTACACGGTGACAGTACAGTCATGACAGCACTATCGTATAGTAATGCAACACCTACTGTCACATGAAGATGAGCGTTTACACGGTGATAATAATTGTCATAACAAATATTGTGTTTCGTGCGATAGCTAATTAAAATTGACTAACAGTGTCGCTAGTTTATTTTATTATTCACTTTATTATAATTTATAATTAACTGATTCACTTATTGTTTTAATTTTGCCTATTCTTAAAGTCAGGTATACATTTATCCCATAAACAAGGATGTTCTTCGTAATATTTTAGAAATTGAATAGTATCAAAAACCATTTTGAATTATAATTTCATTTATATAATTTTCAATTAATTATTATAATTAGATATATATTATTATTTAAACATTTAAATTAATTGAATAAAAAACTGTAGGTATATGTAATAATAAGTAATAATTGATAACAACAATACAAAAATCGTACTACGGTAGTAGTTGACAGTGTGGTAGTCACTGTTTACACGATAGAAGTGGCTGTCACACTGTCAACTAGTTACTGTCTACTATCTAGCAGAGCTAGATAGTTCGACAGCTGGCAGTTGACAGTGTGGCAGCAACTGTCATTATGTTTACACGGCGACAGTCTTATGACAGTGACTATCATGACGGCGACTGTCGAGTGCTACTGTCATCGTGTAAACGCGCCTTTAGTTATTGATAAATACGTACGGTTAAATTAAATAAATATACCGAAATATAAAATAGTTTTAAAATTATGATATAGGTATTTAATCAAATATGAGTTTCATAAATATAATATACATATATACATACATACATACATTCATACATACAGATATGCATTAAAAATTATAAATTGTCTATCAGAGACCAGTATTAATAACACTAATAATACTATTTTTAGTATCCTACATTCATACTTTGCTACGTTAACATATAGTATATCTCAGTATTCACTTACTCGATTGAAGGTTAGGTTAGGTTAGTACTGTTAACGAAGTAACAGTAATCACTTATTAGTTGATAGGTACTTATTGGTAAATACGTACGGTTAAATAAAATAAATATACCGATTTATATGGAATAGTATTAAATTGATGATATATTTAATCAAACATGAGTTTCATAAATATAATATACATACATAGAGATATGCATTAAAAATTATAAATTGTCTATCAGAGACCAGTTTTAATAACATTAATAATACTATTATTAGTATCCTACATTAATACTTTGCTACTTTAACGTTCCATCGACCTTCATTGTTATTAGTTATTTTCGGCTGTTCGATGTTAATAACTAGTTGTCCCTATTTCTCAATTTAACATGGATAAATTTATTTCTCAAAAGAGGAAGCGGATCCATAAAGATGATTTTGACATTATAGGTATATGTTTATATCATAAAAATCATAAAACTAGGTACATTTTTAATTATACATTATTTATATTATAATAAATTAATTTGATCTGTAAAGTGATTAATAACATAAAATAAAAAGAAATAAAAATAGTTTATTTATAATATCTTAAAATATTTATGTTTAAAAAATTTGGGTGATAAAAAATAAAAATAGGTTTCTGTACTATTATCTGTCTAAATTAGCAAAATTAATTTAAATTATTTTAAACCAATTAAATCATAATTAATAATTAATTTTTTTATTCATAGAAAAATAACCATTTTACAAATGTAAGTTCTAAATGATGAAACTGTTTAAAATTATGTTTTTATCTAGTTTTATCTGTTTTTTATTTAGATAAATGTGGTTATCTTTTATCTATTATCCAGATAAATTTTTAAATATTTATCTATTATGTTATCTAGATAATATTTTGGTTATCTATGTACAACACTGCTTACGAGTATAAAATAATCCAGACTAAACTTCTATTTATTTATTTATTTATATATTAATTTACTAGTATAAACCATTTAATATTTTTTAATTTTAATTTTACTTTTTATTATTTCATTCGATGCAGGTGATTTTTAAGGAGTTGACTATAGGCAATTATTTACACGCCTGCTTGAATGCCTTGCTATATTCTCCTTTCTAGTAAACATGTCGAGGCGAGCCGCTAATCACCTAAGCTATGGTGATAGAACCAGTTTCTCCAACTGAAACCCGTATAATTATACGTTTTTTATTATATTATTGCAGACGTAATTGGCAATTTATTATAAATATAATCAACAATATTAAATTAAAAGGCTAGATTATTATTTACGTTTTAAAATTTAAATAAAAATAATACAAGATTAAAGTAATCATTTAAAAGCCTGTTTTTAGTTTAAATCATCAGTTAAGCCTTGAATCAATAATTTCCGGTTATAAATTTCTATTATTTTTACTTTTAAATGAATTTTAATTTGTATGACTTACGTTTTAATATGTATTATCAATATATATAACTAAAAGTATAAATTTTCATTTATGTTTTTCAAAAGTATAACATTATCGAATAAACATTATACATTATTCAGACTACGCATGGGATACAAAACGTTACCAGTTTATTCCAACGCTTATTACAACATACAGAAGAAAGAAATTGAAATTCTGAAATTTGAACCACAGATTTTGTACCCGACCAATGCCGTAGATTAAAAAAAATTAAAATGTAAAAATATAAGAATATAAACTATATATTTATATAATTTTATTAAGAATAAATATCATTGCAAATGATTATATTTTCTAGGCAATGACAAATTTTTTTAAGGAATTCCAAGGAAATATCATCATTTCCTGATTGTCAACATTTCCGGCAGCATATATAAGAGTATGACATTTATAGTGAGTCATAATGTGCCATTATTAATGACGTATTAGGTGTATTTGGAAAAATAAAGTTTTTCATTTAAAGTTACTGTAACAGGTTTTGTAAGATCACTATAATGAAAATAATAACAAAGTGTTGTACGATAATTATAACC